ACTAAGCCTGGCTGGCAACAACAAGGATCTATGGAGATGATTGACGAAAGTCGAACTGAAGCTTCATCTAGTACGGAGGCTTCGTTAGTTCTGGCGAGATGGCTGCTTTTGGCCAACTGGTACTGCTTCTGGCCTGCTGCCATGCAGGTCTACCTGCGTGATTTATTGGGCTGCCGCGCATCCAAACACGAAGTACTGCCTTACACCTCTTTTTCTTAGGCCTACTTGTCCCTTCTTATACAATTTTTATCCTATCCGTACGTAAAGATTGCTATTTATAATATTCTTCTGCATACATGAACAAGCAAATATGACTCAATTTTAGCTCATTGCATTATTATTGGATTCATTTCTTTAACTAGTAGACAGTTTTTCATAAACCCACATTTTATTCCTATCTATATTCTTATATATTTCTATATATAGACTCATGATGTGTCCCGAATACTTATCCGATCACCTTTCTACACAAATTCCATTATAAAATAAGCGGAATCTAATTTTTAATCGAGACTTGTCTATTCTGAGCATCACCGCTTTTTAAACACTGTCCGGATGAAAAATGGTTTATGCTTGGGAATTCTCATAAGTCTATCCTCTTCCGTAAGTTTTTTATATTATTGCACTATAATTACCAGCTATGCTACATCGAAGTCAGTTGGCTGTACTTATAAAAGTGTCTATTGCCATTTCGAAGGAACATCGGGCTGAAAGGAATTCGGGAAATATTCTCAGCGTCTTGCGACTCCGATAAACCTGTGTTAGGCCCTCCTTTGTACTGTGACAAACATCAAATGAGCAATAATCCATGCTCTAAGAAATAACGCTAAAATATACTAAACCAAGAAAAAAAGATTTACTATATATTTTTGCACTATTTCGTAAATTTTTCTGATGATATCTGTCACAATACTGAATAAAGTTTAGTACGGGTCACCGGTATCGCCGGACGGTGAGCCGAGGACTTCTTCGCACTATCCAATAGCCTTCACTCCACGGCATTCCTTCTTTGGTAGGAGGTGAGACCATTTCACGAAGACCTTCCAATCAATATTCCTTTGAAAAGGAAAGTAATGTCACATTATATTACCAAGTAATTCTTTGAAACCAAGTTTTCGTTCATGTACCTCTTATGCTCTAAAATATTCCAAGTTTCGTCTACAAATTTCTACAAAAGTTACTTGATGTATCTCCATTGGAGAAAACCTCCAGCAAAGGTTTTATATGTACACGCTAGACTTTTTCAAGCTTTCTCCTTATTTTTGGTATTTAATTTTTAGCTGGGTTTATTTGCAGTCAGAGTTGGCGATCCGAATACATTTACTTGCATATTTTTAGTTTCCTCTTTACCACCATGCCCATTTGTATTTCGAGATCCAGCGGCAGTATATTTTCAACTTTTGATGCTTCTGGTTGACGAGGACAATTATCACTCATCACCACCCTTCAGACTTCAGATTTCTTTGAATTTATCGCATGTTGTCTTTCAATACAAAGCCTGTGTCTCCTTTCTTGTGGGGCTGGCATAATAAAAATCCGATAACTACTCTTTTGATTTCTCCTTGTATAATGAACTGATTTTCTACAACTAAATAGTCCCTTCTGTAGTACAGCCGAATAAATGCTGCTAAAAGGGGTCTTGTCTTATTACAAAAGACTAGATTAGTTCCACTCTGCTCCTGGGGTAGGTCCCATCCAAAAAGCATAAGATCAGTATCCAAATGTGGCTGAGCTAAACAAACGCAGTAATTACCTAATTGTAAACCGCTCACCTTAACATCTAAAACACATATCATTGGATGTTCCTCTTTAAATAAAAATATTAGATCTTGCCGACGTGTACTAGATTAATCAGCGACAGGTTAGCATGGAAGCTAGACCGTGCTACAGGCGCGATAGATTTGAGATGTCTTGGTTTTGATAGATGGGTCTTCGCTTTTATTGTGAATCCGAATGGTCAATATATTATTTAAGTATTGGAGACTATTCCCATATAATCCATATAATCTCAAATAGATCTATTACAATGTCCAGCCTGAACTCTTCCAAGCCCTTGATAAGTTCAACGAGCAATTGTCCCCCATAGGGTGATATACCACAATGACCTCTAAGCTAACGAATTTCATTCCAATTTCTTCAAGTGACTATTTTGAAATAGATACTTCTAAAGAAAAATACTACACAGTGAGTCGAGGCTTTCTTCGGACACTCCAGTAGTCACAACTCAAAGACAACTCCGGTTTCTGATGAGGCCAATTTACGAATTTTTTCCACTCGTCTATATACATCCAGAGCTTTCCCGAAATCCCTCTGAACAGCTGTCAGTCTCCTAGAATCTTATTGGTAGGATAATCGGAATCCGATTGAATCTTGAGGTAAGTAAAGGAGACTCGGCGTGTTTGTCAGGTTTTTAGGAATTTTACGCAAAGTATGCTTATTCTAAGACGGTAATGACGATGTTGACATGAAGACAGGTACTTCAAGTTCACTCAAATTTATAAATCGCATGGCTCTCTTAAAAATATATTTGTTGTCTCGTGCGTACTTCTCATGGTAATTGCATGTGAGCATACATGCAAGGAAAAATCTTTTGCTGCTGTAAAAATTATTTGCTATAATAAATTATAGATGCTAATTGGTGCCACTTTACTTGGTAAAATTCTACCTTGAGATATTATCAAATTGAGTGATTTCATTGAAGGCTCTTATTGTGCTGGATCTCAATTGCTTTAAAACTCGAATAATTATCATGAGAGAGGTTTTAGAGGTTTTCCCATTCCTCTACACAGGCTTTGAGAATGGATCATTATCACGTACAATTCTTCAATTTAAGCATCATGCAGACGAGCAAATTAGGCAGGAAGCCGTGAGCAACCCGGATTCCTTTTCTGGTGAAGTCGAATTTGCAGTCATGGTCAAGGCTATAACAGGTATTGCGGGATTCGAATCTTGTAGGCATTCTTAGTGGCTTATAAGCCTGTAGAGCCTCATTTCCACTAGAGGATGGAAACTTGACCAAAAGCCCCTCATTATTTAGTCGTGATTTGTGGATAAAAGGGATGTGCAAAGTTATTAAATTTAAGGAGAAAGGATAGGTTTGATGAGAACCTTCGAAATAACCATATCTTACAGAATTTTTTTACATTCAGGTATCTCATATCCTTATCATGTCTAGCATCTCGGGACTGTCATATGTCTTCTGTAGGAAACTAGCTAGCAGACAGAGCTCTCAATCTATGCTTCAGCATCATGATTTTCTGTCTGTACCCGAAGTCACAAGTATCTACAGAAAGTGTACGAACATAAGGATGCATATGTGACCCTAAAAATGCTTCCTGAATGTGCTCTGCCTGTCATTATTATTGAGCTACATTTTTGCCTTAACAACCAGTCGCAAAATACAAATGAACTTTTTTCGAATCTAATGTTTTTGATAAAAAAATTATTTTTTAACAATTAGCTCCTGCTACTTTCCAAGAATTGTACTCAAGCCTTACACTGTCTACTCTTAATGATTTGCACTCGCAAATAGTTATTTTCAAACTACGTCTTTTAGAGTATATTGATAACGCATTTCTCATCACACTATATTTCCTACCGAATGATCAGAAGTATATCAGCAATATTTTGAGGTAATATACTAAGAAAGAATACCTCATGTGTTCATTGGGAAAATTAATTCCTATGTTAGTTTTCCTTCACTTACGACGTTTAAAGCAAAAATTCCTCTCAAATTATAGCAGATGCGCATGTTGGAAAATACCTAGTGCGATCTCCCCGGAAAGTATAATTCAGATTATTTCCAACAGATCTTTAAAGCTTCGTTCCTTTGCCGGCCATCGAATTGCAAATGATACTCGCGCTATTTTGTCGGAGCTTGATGAATCTATGAACATGGCAAAAATATACATAAAGATATAATCATTGTAAGCATATGTGCTTTTGCCTTTGCTAGCAGCTGCTTTAAAATTTATTAAAATTTTAGTTTTAGTAAGTACAGACTCTTTCTGGGCACCATCAGAAAATATGGTGTTGATAAGGCGGGAATAAAGTAGTGCGGCAGCCTGTCTCTGAAGATGCGGTTGTCATGACCTTTGCACAGCTTGAATGCTCAGAAGAATTCGAAATACTTCTTGAAAGTGGCCTCATCCTGAGACTGAAAAAGATGTCAGTAAGTGAATTTAAAGCTGGGATCGGTGACTAAATTATCATCGCTTGATTAGAGTTAATAGTCATGTTGGATCGTTACTTCAGTAGTTGAGAGCACAGAGCAGAGCTACACCTCGTTTTATCCAATGTTTTGGACACACTTCGGATGGTACTTCAATCGTGAACACGAAGTTGGTTGAGTGTCCGGTCGTGGAAAGTGTGCCTACAATGCCGAACATAAAAGATAAAGATGCTGAGCTATTCTGCAAATTCACTTCGTTAATTAAAAGTGGGGTTGCCAAAGTTATTGTTTCTGAACTCTGTTTTTTTAGTCCAACTCACTCAGAGAAATTAAGCAAAAGTTAAAATACAAAAGGTGGCCTTAATTAGACATCTTAAAATTTTCCCTAATCGTCTAACTGACCTATAATGATTTGCAAGATTGTTGGGCTTTTTTGCAATTACAAAAAAATCGTCTGACTTCTAGTTATCTGGTTTACTTTCCATTCCTATTTATACTAGACAGTATTTACTCTCTTTCTTCATCGCTTTATCACAGAGCTGAGTCACTATAGGCATGTAACGGATTGATTTGTTCTGACCTTAAGTTGCAACCACAAGATAGAACCATCTCTTTTCCAAATTTAAATGCGACCTTGAATGTATGGAGTGTGTATTTATAATGGCATCATTTTTAATACTCTGAAATTTTCCTAAGACGGGTGAAATGAAAGAAAGCATTTGGCTGTAGGGAGACCCGAGAGGTTTTATTGATTCTTTCGCCAAGCAATCTTGTTGCTCATGGTTAATGAGGATAAATTCGGATTGAATAATAAAAGTACGAGTCTATTTATCCTATGTAACCATCAGCTAACTTTTGTGTGCACTTTTGCTTGACAAGAACAAGGCCAGTTTCCTCAACCAGCGACAAGAATTCAGTCCGTGTAGGCAAAATTTAAGGCTGTACATGCGCAACTTGGAGAGTAAAATTTATGATGAAATTTGGCCACCATTGCAAGAGTCCTCAAAGCCTCGAACTCATGAGAATCAGGTAGCATATTCTTGTGAAT